GCGAGCAAAAAAAATTTAAAAGTTTTTACTTCACCGGGCGGCCTAGAAAAAAAACTCGTCCCTAAGGGCTTTCAGCGTGTTTTTCGAGGCGTTTTTCTCGATGAAGGAATTTTTTTGAATTTTTTCTTTATTTTTATGTCAATCTACATGCTTTTCTGTACATTTTGATGCAATAAAAAAATTTCACAGTAGACCACCTTCAATAATACAAAAACGTATTTTCCAGTTAATTTTCGGCAATGTTGACCATTTTCAAAAGCCTGGAGCTCGGTTATCAAGAAACTTTGCATTCACAGAATTTTATGAAAGTTTCTAGTTTTTCAGCTTTTAGCCGATATCCGAGGGAAACCTCTTTTAGGTCCGTTTCTGTACGAAAAATGTGAGAAAAACAGATTTCTTACAGAAATCGGTAAATAGCTGAAAAACTAGGAATATTAAAAAAAGTCTGTAAATGCAACGTTTTCAATCTAGATCCGTCACACCCTCCAAATTTTCGAAGTGTTTGGAAACTTGGTAAACGAGCTCCAAACTAATGAAAATGGTCAGACGACTATAAACAACTGAAAAATTGGGTCTTTGTGTATCTTATTGACCGGTACTGTATATGAGTGGAGAAACAAACATTTACCTGATTACCAGAGATGGGAAGAACGTGCAAGCATGATGGAAGTTCCGCCTCAAGTGGTTCCGAGGATCTTTCAGAGTCTGCAATGTTCACGAGTCCACGATTCCACAATTCTTCATTGCAATTTTCAGATAATTCTGCTATTGAAACATTTTTTCAAACAACTGTCATAATAAAAAAAAACCTGGATTCTGTTTATTTCCAAATTTTAGAACATGAAAATGTCCAGTGGGCGTGTTTTCAAAACACACATAGCGAAGGAGTTGGTCTGTCACAAACCGAATCGGGCGCTCGCATTGATAAATTTTCTTCCACAAGCCCGAAAACTCTTCATGACGTTCAAACTGGGTATTGAAGATAATTACGTCAGCCAGAATTGGAATGGGGAATTCTGGCAATAGAAAATCGGCCGAAATGATAGGAGCCGCGTGACTTTGTTGGCCAAAAAAGTGCATGTACCTTTAAGGTTTCTCATGTGCTGAAATATATTTCTAAAAATGGACCTACTTTTTTGTCATTTCTCCTCGAATGTTGGTTTGTTCGATGACGTGTTGCGATGGCTCCAAAATCTTGATGGGGATGTTTGGCAACATCTGGGCCATTGCAATTGCCAATCTGCCAATAGCTCCAGCTCCGAAAAAAACAATGATTTGGTTTTTCATCGGTCCTAGACTCGCAATCATTGATTCGAGCAAACCGATTTCAAACCGATCCTGTAAAGTGAAAAATCAAAAAAATAACCATTTAAAAAACCAACATATAATGACTCATCTTCCAATTCGACGTAGGAGTTCGTGATGTCTGATAATATCTCGACAATTTTGATGGTTGCTGTCATAGATTTCAGCTCATCGAAAGCACTTGAAATCGGTATCGGATTTCTCTGAAAACTCGAGTTTGAATAGAAAAAAGTTCTCAATAAACTTTACCAAATACTGAGCAACGGCAAAATTGAATTTGTCAACAAAATACATCATGGCGCATTCAGTGCCAGGAGCTGGAGGGAACTCGAGATCGTATATTTCGAGAAAGTCTTTCATCGGTCTGAAGAACAAAGTAATTTTAATTTTCTGAGATTCTGGGATATTTTATATTGAAGATTCAAACATGCTCAAATGATAATATTTCGAAATTTCTAAAACTGAGATCCGAATAATCGGAAATCCAAATATGATTTTTGGAACTTTTATTCGAAAAGATTTTGTTTATTAGAAATGAATTTATTCTGAAACCTTGAATTTTTACAGAAAGCAAATATTTGTTAAAATTTAGAAATTTTCTGTTAATTAAAATTTTCTCACAAATATTCAAATTGTAAAAACATACGTCTGTGTCATGAGGGTTTGGAGCCCTCGCCGATCGGACAGTTCGCACATATCAAATTCTGTGAGGTGTCTAAGACGAAGGGGGTCTTGAGGAGAATTTTTAGAATAGGCATGTCTGAAAAATGCTAAATTGAAAAAAATATGATCAAAATGATGAGAAACAAAAAGGAGGTAAAGATAGGTCTTTTAACTTTGAGCTAAATCATCTCGGTTCCTTCAAAAGATATCAAAAATGCGCCAATTGATAAAATGTTTGTGGTAATATGATGAACAAATTGTTAATTGCCGACTTTTTCATATCTCCGGCAGGTGCCGAGATAAATAAGTTCCAATTGAACAAAAGGGCTCTTTCTTTACAGGTTTTACGATACTTCAATAAGAGGGAATTTTCAAAAAAATGATTCGAGCACAAACTGTGAAATTATAGGAATTGGCATTACTAACTAGGGAAATATCTGAGCGGGATTCCAAGTTACACTTCATGACCTATATCATTAGAAAGCCTATGAAATTTTTATTCTGAATATGTTTTTTGTTTTTGCGAAACAGCCGTGAGCTTCGAGAAAATTAGGTCAAAATATAATTTTCAGTTTGTTTCCAGGCTGTGTTTAGCTTTTTGAATTTGAAGTAAAAGTATCACGTGTCTTGCGTCAATCCTCAATGCAAAGTACAGCCTAGAAATCAACTGAAAATTATCTTTCACACTAATTTTATCGAAGCTCACCGCCGTTTCGCAAAAACAGAAAACATATTCCGAATCAGAATTTTATGGACTTTCTAATGATGTAGGTCATGAAGTGTAACTTGGAATCCCGCTTAGATAGTTCCCTAGTAAATTCAAAAAACGCGCATCGGGAGAAAGAACAGAAGCAGAGAAAAAGAGAGACAACAAAAACGAAGAGGTTTTGAGTACCTGTGGAACTTTTCCATGATGTGTGTCTGTCTTAGGGTGCACTGTGCCCGATGAGACAGGAGACGGTGAGAGTAAGAAATGATGTCATAAGGGGGCGGGGGCTTAAGCCATTTACATCAAATAGAAAAAAATGCTCCTTTGTCAGTTTTTTGAGAGGAAATGTGGTTTCGAGAAGAGGAATCCTAGATATGGAGAAAATATTGAAATAATTAAAATTTTCAACAAATTTGAAGTTATAAAACTAAAAACAAAATCAGGTCTCACAAAATCTTCACTATAGAAAAAAAAATCTCAAAAAAGCGTATCAGTATTCAGTTTTTTCTAATCGGAGTTTTGAAAATAACTTGTCGTAGCAGATAATTCTTGAAAACTTATGTACATGATTGCTGAAAACTCGGAATCAACTATTTCCCCGGAAATCAGTCTATTTCATGAAATCAAGAGCCATGGATAAAAAAAAACAAAGTCTAAAATACGAAAAACGGAATTCTAATTTTAAATATCTCTGCAAATTACAGTACTAGTCAAAAACTATTTCAGTTGAAAATGATCAACATCAGAATACGTATTCAAAAAAATAACACTATTCAAGCATAATAGACAAAGAACGACGTATGTTTTGATTAGTTATGCGACGCCTGCCAAAACATTTCTTTATATGTTTTGAGAAAAAAGCGGGAGAATTTTCGGAGATAAAATTCAAATATAAAAGAATCGAAATCCCAAAAAATCAAATATGTTTTCTGAGTGATAACCTGTTTTCAACTGATTTAGACACCGTTGAATGGAGGTAAGTCCCTGAAAATTTCAAACAATACGAATTACAAATTTTCTGTCAACAAATTTATTTTTCAACAAGAGAAGATTTAGATTTTCTTCTTCCCGGTTACGTTGTTTTCGATTTTTGGTACGGTGCCCACCTTCTGATGAATTTTTTTCTACAGTCTTGGCTATAAATTTAGCGCCGGGACTATGAAATTCTGAAAATTTTTTGTAATTCTTAAATTTCGAGATTTTTTTATTTCCAAGTTAGTCTAATTTCGCACTGTGAGACAAAAAAAAGTGATTTTTTTTCGAAATAGCATAAGAACTTCAAATAAAAAATTGGAAATTTTTTTTCGGTTCCAAGTTTTGGTTTTTTGAAATTCGAAAATCTGAAACTTTCAGAATTAATCACAAATAATTATCTCAAGAAATGCTAATTTTTCAGCGAAAAACCCTTTCCAATTCTATTCTCTGAACTTTTTTTAAATTTTTGCAAAAAAAAAACATACTGGTGGTGTGTAACACCGCTTTACGGAACGGTGTCTGACTCCATTTCGAGTTTTCCTTGCAGCTCGTATCACTTGATAAGGGAGAACTTTGGCGACTCGACATTTTGGTGCGGCGGGGACAGTTGCGGAAACCGTTGATTCGTGACCTTACAAGGGAAGTGTTTTCAGAAAGGCTTTAAGAATGTTTTTTTTTAAATTGGTACACATCGGGCCTGTGCGGCAGCAAAATTTTTTCAGCAATTTGGCAACTTGGCAATTTGCCGAATACTTTTCGGCAACGTTCGGCAACTCGGCAATTTCGGCAACTTTTGGCAATTTTTGGCAACAAAAGTTTTGCGTCTTTTTTTAGTGAAATCGATACGTAACTCGCCTGAAAATGCTTCTATCAGGCTCAGAACTACAGAAAATGTGTTTCATAAGTTCCTTAAAAAAGTAATTACAAAAATTGGCAACTCAAGACCACATTTTTTATGCAAACTATTTCTCTTTAGCAATAAAGGGTATTCCAATGGTTGAAAATATTTGTTCCGATTGTGAGTTTTGAAAATAGTGCGCTCAACTTGTTAGGCAACTCACGACACACGTTCCCTAGAGATTTGAGACAGATTGGATAATTTTTTTGATGAGTTGTGATTCATGATATCTACTTTTCTCCTATGCTTACAAATTTGAAGCTCATTTTTAGATCCGATGCAAGTATTTTTGATGATTATTTGGACACATTTTCTTTAAAATCCACTCTGAGGGATGGTAGTGTTCAAAATTTGATTTTTCGAACTTCGAAATCATTTTTTTGACTAAAAATTGTGAAAATCTCTAAATTCAAAAAAATTTCAGTTGCCGAAATTGCAGAAATTTTTTTTTGCCGAAACGACAATTCGGCAACTTTTTCTTCGTTTCCGATTTCGGCAACGGCAAATCGGCAACAAAAATTCGGCAATTTGGTGCCGCACAGGCCTGGTACACATATACTCTCAGAGTACCACATACCAAAACTTCAAGAAATTCTCAAAGCCTGTCTGAAAACACTTCCTTTGTTAGGTTTTCTTCGAGGTCAGAACGAAAAACTGTGCTTTTGAAATTTCAATATGAAAAACTTTTCTGAATATGTGTGAAATGTTTAAAAATGAGTTTCTGTCATAATGAAATTTTGGAAAACATTTTTGAATCTCGGAAAATTCAAGTGCTCGGTCAAATTATATTAGGTTGGCGGGAAAGTCTTTGTCACTTTTTCAATAGTTTATTTCTCAAAGAAAAAATAACCGAATAATTAATTATATTGTCCATCATTATCAACAACATGTCTCCAACGTTCCCTCAATTTATGGATTCCATTGCGGTAGAATCCAGCCGGGCGTGAGGCAAAGTATTGTTTGAGTGCCGCTTCGACCGCTCCACGGGAATTGAAGCTTCTTCCTTCGAAGGCACGTGTCATATCGCCAAATAACCAATAGTCGGAAGGAGCAAGATCAGGAGAATACGGGGGGTGAGGGAGAACATTCCATCCATATCCCATCAGCTCCTGCTTCACTTGTTTCGAAACATGTGGGCGAGCGTTATCATGTTGATAGTACACTTTCTTGTCTTTCAGGGCCGAACGGTCGACTGCTTTCTTGAGGTTTCGTAGTTGAGTAGTGTAGAGGTCTCCAGTTATTGTTTTGCCCTCGGGCAGAAGTTCCCAGTAGATGGGGCCGTCCACTCCCCACCACACAGAGAGCATAACTTTTTTCGGATGAAGGTCGGGTTTTGGGACATCCTGTGGGCTCTCTCCTTCTCCAACCCACTGGGATTTCCTGTGGTGATTATCGTAGAAGACCCACTTCTCATTCCGGTTATTAGCCGGTCCAGCCATCGATCGCCCGCGTGGAGAGTGAGAAGAGTAATCGAATCGTCGACTCGGCGGTCAAGGTTGGCTTGAGTCAGGTGATGAGGTATGAATCGACCAAAAAGTTTTCTCATTCCAAGAGACTTCAAACCTTCAAGGACTGTGCTATGGTGAACTCCGAATGTGACAGCTAGTTCACGGCTAGATTGAAATGGATCCGATTGCAATGCGTGCTTCAGCTTGTCCAAATCCAACTCACGGGGTCTCCCAGAGCGATCCTTTTCATCGAGCGAGAAGTCATCTTTTTCGAAACGATGGAACCAATTGCGAATAGTATTGTAGTGAGGGGCATGTGTGTTGTACACATTCTTCAAGAAAGTTTCCGAATCCTTCATCGTGGTGTGAGATAGGAAGAGGTAAATCAAAACATGTCTGATGTGAATAGCAGTGGGAACAAACATATCGTTTCAATTACAGATGAGGAGCAGGGAAGGAAATGGGGACTTGTTTATATGGAAGGTTCTTATCACCTTGTTATTCACTAGAGTCGATATCATACACAGCCTCCATATACGAGAACAGTGATTAAACAAACAGAGTGACAAAGACTTTCCCGCCAACCTAATAGTACTACAAATATATTCAGAGCCCATGTTTTGACTCCTATCGGGAACGGAAATCAGATATATTTGATGATATCAAAGGACCGCTTAAAATGTTTCGGCAATCTATATTTTTCAACACTTTTCCTTTTTTTAATTATGATTTTTGAACTTCAGCTTCTTGTTCTTGTTTTCTGTATTGTAATAAAATCTCTCAGTCTCTCGCTCTATGATCGATTTTGCCTCTCGCTCTCTAATCATGACGCAGAACATAATATTTTGTCAAATTCCTGCGTCTCTCTTCAATTGTTTATGTCGCATTCAATGTTCCGTCGTCTGCCAACCATCCTTGAACAACCATGCAACCACTTCAGTTTAGTTTTCCAATGGCGCAATGTGCGCGCCTAACATTCCCTGATTTTTTTTTCGAAATTTTATACTTATTTCTATATTCTATGGCACCTAAGATGAATGGAGCCTAACTACCTTTATTTTTCTGATTTTTATTTGAATTAACGAGGTAAGATTTTTCAATTTACGATGTTTTCCAAAAAAACATTATGAAGTCATTTTCGAAACTAGAGAAATAATAATTTCTGAATTTCTGAGTTTCTGAATCTCTGAATTTCTGAATTTCCGAATTTCTGAATTTTTGAATTTCTGAATTTCTGAATTTCTGAATTTCTGAATTTCTGAATTTCTGAATTTCTGAATTTCTGAATTTCTGAATTTCTGAATTTCTGAATTTCTGAATTTCTGAATTTCTGAATTTCTGAATTTCTGGATTTCTGAATTTCTGAATTTCTGAATTTCTGAATTTCTGAACTTCTGAATTTCTGAATCTCTGAATTTCTAAATTACTAAATTTCCTCCACCCAATTTTCAACTCTTTCAGACCTCAATAAAAAATAGAAATCGACAATGCTATCGACCGACTGATCCAGCAAAGCACCATCCATCATCGGACCATTGAACGGGCAATGCGTCATGTGCATCGACTAGAAGAAGTTGCTCGAGCCCTTGACCAAGATGATGACTACGGTAATTAACAAATTAGGATGATTTCAATAAATGGATTTGTTCAGATGATCGATTAGATGATTCCAACCAGCAAACGCTCAACAAAGTGATGAGCAACCAAAGAGAGCAATGGGCAGAGGAGAGAGCGATAAGAGCAGAGGACAAGAGAAATAAGGAAAAGGGAGCACGAAGACTTCTTGAGGACGCTGCTCAAGTCAACACTGCTCGCTTTAGTGCTGAAATAATTGTTTTTTCTCGTTAATAAATATATTGATTGAAAAATTGTAATTTGTATCGTTGAGAAATTTTAGATTCTTATTCAACTGTCAGAGCTGCTCGATTCAACAAGTTAAAATTTTCCACTCAGAAGTACCAAATTCCCTAATACTGACGGAGACGACTTCTGACGACGTCTTCTCTCCTCTCGACGTGGATGATCTTTCTAATATAAACAATTAAACAAGTCTTCTGTTCGGTCCAATTTTTTACATGTGTCTCAAGGTCAAAGAAGGGACGTGTCTGGTGATAGAGTAACCCGATACTTTTCTGTCCCCTCTCGAGACCATGTCTCACCTTCTTGGATAAACAGACGAACGGATGAGTTTCACATACATGAATACTACTAGACAGGATAAAAAGAGAGGGGCAAAGAATGACATCACTATCTGAAGGTCTGGTGAACCGAACGCGAAGAAATGCCATGTATCGATCAAACTTCATGTGTTTTTTAGAATTGAAATGAGTCCTTGAAAATTTCAAACAATACGAATTACATGTTTTTTGTGTGTCAAAATATGCTGTTTCAGACTATTTTAGCAGTTTCCAACAAAAAAAGTTCGACTTTCCTCTCTAAAATACTTGAGATTTTTCATTTTCCAGGTGGTCGTATAGATATTGCCCGCTTGCGAATGTGTTTTTTGGGTGGTACATGTTTAGGGAAAGTGCAAAAATTATGAAACATCGTCTCTAGAGGTTATTTTTGATTGTGAATGGAATGGCGTCAACAGTTTTTCATTATCACTCATAGTTTTTTCTGTGCGCCCAAAACCTAGGGGGGTCGTTTGGCTGTTGACCACACTGTATTTTCTTTATTTTTTATAATTTACAAAAAAAAACTTCCTGAAAAACCATGCAAAATACTTGCAAATATCGGATCTTTATGACAAGGGGGGGGGGGTGGCGCATGAGAAAAGGGGGCCCATAAGAAAAGGGGGGCCCTAGCGAAAAGGGAAGGGGGGGGGGGGGG